GGCAGGGCTGCTCTCAATCCTTTCTTCCCCCAGCCTGTACTGATACCGGGGGTTACCCCGACCCAGGTGCAGGACCTTGCACTTGGCCTTGTTGAACCTCATGAGGTTCACACAGGCCCACCTCTCTAGCCTGTCCAGGTCTCTCTGGATGACATCCCGTCCTTCTGGTGTGTCAACCGCACCACTCAGCTTGGTGTCATCCGCAAACTTGCTGAGGGTGCACTCAATCTCGCTGTCTAAGTCATTGATGAAAACATTAAACAGCACCGGTCCCAGCACAAACCCCTGAGGGACACCACTCGTCACCGGTCTCCATATCCTAATGTCACTGATTTCTGTTCTCTCTTTCAGGAACAGTATAAATTTGTATACGAGGTTGCACTGGAATACTTGAGTTCCTTTTAGCCCAGTGGAGGGGGGGGAGCCTCTGAAATGCCAGACCCCAATCTCTGCCAGATGCTTCTCCCCTCTCCCGCACTGGAAGGCAGTAACAAGTGTGGGAAGGAAAACCTCTCCTTCCCGGAGCAAGAGACTGAGATTGCACAGACCTCGCTGGAAGGAGGAGATGATGCCTGTGTTTGCTGCTGCCTGCTTTCTATCAGAACATCTACTGCTTCTTAAATAACCTACTGTATAAATTAGCAAAATGGGAGACAGGCTGAAAGACTGGACTTTCTAATCCCCTCTGACTTCTCTCCTGTTTTGGATTGTATTTTTGCTCTCCTTGCTGCAGAGTGGGGAAAGAATGAAACCCTTAGGAAATTTTCTTTTAAATGTCTCCTTTTTAATTTATATTTTTGTTGTCAAATCCCAGTCTTTAATTTCTGAATTTCATGCAGCAGTCACTTGGGAAAAATGAGATAGCCATAGGGGACACAGGAAATGTTTCATTACAGTTTGCCTACCTTATCCGTTTCCTTTTATTTGTTTTTCCAAATGAAAAGGCCAACACAAAAAACCACACTGGAATTCTCTTTCCATACGTAGTCCCTTTCAGCATGAAAGTAGGTGGTGGAGATGAGAAACTGTTCATGGATTCGCTGCCTCGGCTTCTACACAAATGTTTACTCCCAGCTTCTGCTGGACTCCCGAGGCTGTGCATGAACCGGTTACATCTCTCTGCTCTGTGTTTGTTTCAGGGCTGGTGAAGCAACACCACCAAGGAGTTTCCCAGCCACTTGAACCCGAAGGTTAAGTATTTGCATCAAACAAATTGCATTTCTCTTGCAACTTTTGGTAACGTTGTTACCATATTTTTCAAGTCTTTGGGGGTGCAGTGTGTCTTTGAAAAACAGGGTATAAAGTAGGTATTATTGATGATATACTATGTATTATTATTTTTATTTATTATTTGTATTGCTATAGAACTTAGGACCCCTAGTCATGACCTGCTGAACTAGGCACTGTGCAAACAGAGAAACAAAGAAGGTTCCTGCTCAAGAGTTTAAAATCTGAAGGTAATCTTAAAATTGGGTTTGGTCACGATTTCTTCACTATTTCCAAACTGTTGTAGTTGAGTGATCTATTCAGATTTCCAGGCCCTACAAGCTTCAAAATGGTAACCCATCCAAGCTGTAGGAAAGGTGATGTACGTACACAGAAACCTATTCTGACATGTGATAGACCAGCACAGCAACTTTCCTTTTTGAGCAAAACAGCTTTTGTTTTGTTCTGCAAAAATGCCTGTGTAACTCTCCTGCTTTGAAACAAACACCAGATGTGTTTTGCCATGGTTCTGGATCTCACTCTGACTTCTTAGCAGCTAAGAAATTGCTTTTCTGAAAGAGTATGTTTAAGTTGTTAATCATTAAAGTCTGGAGGGTAATCTTGGAGAAAAAAATAATTGAATGAACAAGGCCTTACAGTATTCAGTATTTCAATTTAGCCATTTATTTATCTTGAGGGTGTGGGGGTACGAGGTTGCTCTGTGTGTAAATTAGATTCTGGGAGATGTAGGTTTCTTCAAATACAGACTTGCTAAAAAAGAGACTGAAGGTAAGAATTTAAGTAAACTCCACTTCCTTACCACCCTGTAGTTTTCCACTCTCAGGTAAATACTCAGACTGTGCTGGGGGCTCTGTCATGTCAATGCCTGGCATAGAACATGCCAGATGTTAAAAAAATTTTGCTAATACTCTGTAAATTCAATGCTTCATGGTCATTCTTTTTTCAATTGCCATACCTTTACCTTGAAAATGAAGGAAGAAAATTAGATCTGACAAAAGCAAGTCTCAACTCAAACATACCAGTATCTAACCAAATAGTTATCTTCTCTACCAGGACCTGGAACAGTCTAAGGAAGGATGCTTGGAACAGCAATAATCCTCTTCCTGCTAAGCAGAGAAGGGAATTGCATAGGACACTGAACTGCCTAGCTCATATTCTTTCCAAGGAGCTTTGGATTCTTGGCTTGTTCCAAGTGAGTATCATGAAGGTCTTAAACGAACCACATTTTCCTTGATGTAGCCCGTGTGCCATGAAGTATCGGTGAGGACCCCCTCACAGGTGCCTCTGCTCTGTTTCTAGTTGGTCCTTTCTGTTCTCTGCAAGAAATCACAAAGTCACTTTTAGTTCCTATTGGAGCTGTAGGTGAATGTCTGGCATCTCATGAAACAAACTACTGGTTTGGTTTTTTTTTCCTTTTGCCACTATGCGACACAAACAATTCTGCAGAAAAAAATAGAAGGCAAAACAAAACTGTGAGACAAGAAGGAGAAGGAAGGCATAATATTAGTGGTTTGATTACAGGTGTCTTGCTGTAACAGTATAGGTCAGGAGTTACCATTAGCAAAGAACAGGGAAGAGGAAATCCCAAACCTAGAATGGGATTTTTCAACAACTGCCCAGGTAAGGAAGAAACTACAAGTCAGCAAAGTGTTCGTAACTTTGCTAACAGCAGAAAGCCAGAGGGAATCACTCCCTGTGGATACTATGGAAATATTAATTAGTATTTAGCATTCTGTTAATTTAACATTGAAACTAGCATAGCGATAGCTACCATGAGTTACTGAAATACTAGTACAAACATTGAGGGTGACAGCCAGGATAGAACGAAGAGAGGGGTAGAATTAATGGCAATATGACTGAGATGTGAAGTGTAGGAGGTAGTTCAAGGCTTAACAGTAGCATGAAGGAAAGTGGATTAAAAAGCCAGAATTAAGCCCATAGGAGGGATGTGTGCATGGAGAGAAGCATGTGTTGGATAAGCAGAGCAGAATAGCACTTACACTGGAATTGTTTAAGGTCTTGGGGTGGGTTTAAATGTGTTTTCATAGGATGAAAAATGTTACTAAAGGGTCAAGTGTGTGTATCAGTGTACCCACAGCAACTTGCCATGTGTTTTTAGCCCTCTGCAAATGCAAAGTGACATTAGTATGAACTGCAGGGAAAGATATCTAAGCTAAATTTTACCTTATATTTGCAAGGAACAAGTTTAATGCAAATGTTGGTTACCACAGCCCAACTGTTAGTCACAGCTTATTATGTGGCAACTCCGCCATGTGTCTCAACCTTCTTCTAATGTCTGACCTACAATCCATGTGGAAAGACACTTAGCAAACACTACACATTATATTGCCAAAGTGTTATCGTCATGGAGTTACATTGCTTTGGGGGGACTGACCCAGCTCCAGTCTGTCTTGTCTCAGGGATCTTTATGCTGTTCCTTGCTGCACAGTGCATATATGCTGAATGTGAATTAATGATGAAGGGAACTGTGTGGAGAGAGAAAAGAAGCTTGCTTTAAATAACCTTATTACCTGGAGGTTGTTTAAACCATAGAGAACAGCCTATAGTAAAATAGGTAATGTGTTTGAAGGAAGCTTATAAGTGATGGGTTTGTTTTTGCTGAGAAAGAGAGATATTATGAGATGAGACAAAGGAGGCCTTCTAACTCCTGAGAGGATTAATAGGGCGAGCTTTCCGACCTAGGCATCCCTGCTCTGGACAGAAAGCGATCATGTACAGCAGAAAGTGTGGATTCCTCAATAACTGAATTTTAGGCTGGAAAAATATGATATTGACAATATTTGAATGGTCACAGTGAAGATAAACATTCCCATTCAGACATCCTTTAGGGGTGAGGGAGTATGGTTTATTAATAGCGTAGTATTGGTCTAAAGTGTAACCTAAAATACAGGGAACTAGAAATAGGTAAAGAAGGGTGGAGCTGGGGTGACTATCTCATACATGGAGTAACTAACATCTTAAATTATTAAGGGATGTAACTGAAGCAAAGCATTCCAGAGCTATCTATCTAGGCTGGCTGCTGGAGAAGGAAGATCCTGAGTTGTCTGCAGGAAAGAGATAGACCAAACCCCCTAAAAGGTACAGTAGGTCTTAACAATCTTTTCTAATTTTCTTTATAGTTTTGTGTTTGGAAGTCCTGGGTTTGGTTTTGGTTTGTTTTATTTTTAATTAAGATCTCTGCAGGACCTGTGTCCTATGCTGGCACTTTTTTGTTTTCCTTATTCAAATTATCTGTAAGGAAAATGGCATTTGATATCCTGCAAATGGACTGGAGGTATTTGTTTATTAATGTAAAGAAATGAGACCATGCAAGGAATAAGGTAGAGAGAAGGTAACTGAATCGGGACCTCTGGTGGCAAGCAAGCAAATGGGAATTTGCTGGGTTTATTTATGCCTGCAGATTGAAATAATTGGTATTCTCTGATCAGGGAAGTCTCTGGGCTATGGTTAGTAGGAGGCTTTTCAATTTGTGATTGAAATTTTAGCAAGGTTGCACAGAATTACACGAGTCTTTGCCATGCTCAGCTCCAGCCAGTTTTATTAATGACCTGGTGGGTGTCTCTTAATTTCTTAACATTTTAGCAATTTATGTGAGTATTTTGGTCCACAGGAAACAGGCAGTTAGCAATGAAAGATTTTTACATACATTGAAAAGCTGTAACTTTCACGACCTTTACCCTCAAATCAAATCACAGTTTCTGTACCCAGTATCTCCTGCTCAGCCCCTACTCATGTGCACACACATGTCCAGGTAACTGCCAAAAAGCAGGCAGAGATTTTGGGAAGGGCCTGTGACCCCTAATCAGTGTGGTCTTTGCAACTGTGTAGGGCCGAGGAGAGAATCCCAATGCTTTTGTCTAGAGAAGCACATATTTGTGTGTCAGTAGTTTCCAGGTTTTCATTCTGGATCTGTAAATTCCCTGCAAAAAAAAAAATAATATCCAGTGGCAATATGGATCCCACAGTAGTAGATTTAAGCCTGCATATGGTAGACTTGTTTTTCCATTTACTTTTCACCGGCCCTTAAGAAGTAGTTAGTGGGATTTCCCTGGGGAATCTCAAGCCAGGGATTGCTGGTCCACTGCTCTTGATGTCCTGTAGAGTCAGAGAAAGGAGAGAGGCTCCTGCAGCAGGTGATTCAGAAGGCAGTTAAGCCA